ATATATTATAAAATTGTAAGGCTATTCCCTTGCTCATTTTAAGATCGGCGGATATGCAGTGTACTAGTGAATAATTACTATCTACCGAAAATAAATTAATTACTTGTTCCGTAACATTAGTATTTAATTGGTTTACATTGTTTTTTGTGTCCATAAAAATGGGTAGCGTGATTGAATTAATTGTCATGAGTTCTTTTTCGAAATCAATAATTGCGTTATTGGCTTCTAAGAAATCATTTCCTAGTATAATATTACAAGATAGGTTTTTTATTACATAAGCTATTACTTTATATTCCCTAGAATTTATACTAATAAATAGTTCATATTTTCCCAAAACAGTCAGCGGCGTATTGTCTGGGCCTCCTATTGTTATTGTACTCTCCTCATATGAAATGTTGGGTACTAGTGTGTGTGTAATACAACTAATATTAGATCCCGTGTCAACAGTTATAGGCACATTAATGTTGTTGAACATAGCAAAAAAATGTAAAGCAATTGGCGTAGCATTATTAATATTGTAATGAGCTGAATTAAAAGGTGAACTAAATGTTTCAGCAGAGTTTAACCTTGATTTGAGTTTTTTGAATTTTTAACACAATTAAGAGCTGTGTGACCTATAATGTCACATAATTGGCATTTTATTTTATTTCTAAGAAAGCAATTTTCCGAAGCATGATTATTTTTGCTGCAAATATTACATTTTAAAGTATCTGAATTATAATTTTGTGTGTTAGCATTAGGTTGATAATTTTTTACGTTTTGATAATTTTCTCTTTGGTTCCATTGTGGTTCATAATTTTTTTTATTTTGTGAAAAATTTTGATTATTAAACTTAACTGGTGAATAGTTATTTCTATTGGGATTATTAAATTGTGACCAATTCATTCGATTATTTTTATTAAAATTGTTTTGCTTATTATCATAAAAATTGTTCTTATATGGTAAATATTGATGCTGAAATTGATTATTATTAGAAGAGAAATTATTTCTAGGTTTCATTATATTATTTTGAAATTGGTTATCATTATAGCGAGGAATATTATTATTAAATTTATTGTTATTTTGATATTGATTATTCCTTGACGATAAATTATTATATAAATTAAAATTATCTTGAAATTGATTACTTTTAGGCATAAAATTAATATATTCACTAAAATTTTGTTTTAAATTGGAAATTTCATCATTCAACTTTTTTATTTCGTCATTATCCTTAAAGTTAGCTATTTGATTAATTTTCTCAGTTATAATTGATTGTTTTATTTCAGACGGACTTTTAGCTGTTTCTCCAGTAATCATAAATTCTACCATCTCATACTTGTGAATATTTTTTTTTAATTCGTCTAAATTACGGTTTTCAAGAATTCCTATGTATCTCGCAATACTTGGTTTTAAACCTTTCATCACATTTCGAACTAATTCTTCCTCTGACATGTTTTTATCTACCCTCTTACATAATGCCTCTATTTCATTGATGAATACCCCCGTTTGTTCATCATCTACCTGTTTTCTTCTCTCTAATAAAATTCTTAACATATCATTTTGTGCTATCGGTTCAAACTCTTCTCTAAGTTTTACCTCTAATTCTTTCCAGGATAAATTTTTAGATTCAATGTTATCATAAAATGTTAGAGCTGGGCCATGTAAAAATGCTACTAAGTATTGCGGTTTATCGATTTCTGACCAATTGTTAATTGCGGCTGCTCTATTAAAAGTTTTCAAAAACGAATCTATACGTTCATTTATCCCACCCGAAAAAGTAGTCGGTTTGAAAAATAGATTTTTATTCATATTGTAATTGTTAATAATTCTGGTTGATTCTTTATTATTATCAATATTTATTTTATTTTCAGTCTTAGTCGAATTTTTTGGCAGAAAAAACCAAAATAATTTAATTTTTAGTTCTGAGACTGTACCGTTCGTTTCTAAATTTCTATTCTCTAATTCTTTAATGAGGTTTGGTTTTTTTAAAGTATTTACCCACTCTAAAGTCTTTTTATATTCTTCTGGCACTCCTTCGATATTAATTGATTGTGTTTCCTCTGTCATAATATTAAATTTTCTGTCCCTTTTATTTTGTTGTTTATTTTAAAAAAAAATATATATATTTTATGTTATATTTCGCTTTATATAGTGTAATTAAATTTTAATTTAGCAAGTTTGTTTTAGATTAATTTAAAAAGTACGCGCAATTTGATTTAGTTTTAATGATCGCAATTGAATTTTTAATTCTAATGAAATTTTATTTTTCGTGCAATTTTATTTTAAATACACGCAGTATAGTTCAAATAAATTCAAATAATTTTTTTAATTTTCACGCAATTTAATTTTAATAATAATGATACATGCTTTTCAATTTTCAAGCATTTCAAATAAATAATTTTAATAGTCGCGATTTCACTCTTTTTTTTTTTCTTTTTCTTTTTTTTTTTAAAAAAATTAACGAATAGTTTCAAGAGGCGCGAGTATATATTTTTTATAATTTCAATTTAATGAACGTGATTTATCAACAAAATATAATTCAATATAATTCAACAATAATTTCAATAAACGCGATTTCACTCTTATAAAAAATTTTTTTAACAAATAGTTTTAAGAGGCGCGAGTATTTTTATTTTATTTCAATTTGCGAAATTTAATTTTTCAAAGGTATTTTANCGTGATATAATTTTTTTTTTTTAAATATTTCAATATAATTCAACAATAATTTCAATAAACGCGATTTCACTCTTATAAAAAATTTTTTAACAAATAGTTTTAAGAGGCGCGAGTATTTTTATTTTATTTCAATTTGCGAAATTTAATTTTTCAAAGGTATTTTAATTTAATAATTTCAATAAACGCAATTTCACTCCCAAAAAAAAATTGTTTGATAGCAAATAAATTTTTGAAGAGGCGCGAGTATTTATATGATTTCAGCTAACTTAAGTTAGCACGATTTTATTTTTCTATTATTATTCTAACAAATAATTTCAATAAGCGCGATTTAAATTTTCTACTTCAAATAAATAATTTCAAGAAATGCGATTTAAAAATGATTTTAAAATGATCAAAATAAATAAACTCAATAATCTCAATGAGCGCGTTTTAAATTTTTAATTTAAACAATTAATTTCAATAATTTTAACAAACTTGTTTTAAATTTTTAATTCATATAAATAATTTTAATGAATGCCATTAATACATTTTTTTTTTAAAATAATTCAAACAGAAAACATTCTTTCATTCTTTCCTACACTGATTTACTGTTGTTCACTTCCTTTACTAAATTATTACTTAAAATTTTTTCTAATTATTCAGATTTTTATAATTTCTAGACTGTTACTTCTTTTTTTTTTTGTTTTTAAATATTTACTACAGAATTTTTTTTTTATTAAAATCAAAGGAATAATATCTTTGTAAGTTTTATATTTTTGAAACCGTTCAATTTATAAGATTAAGGAGAAAAAAAAATTCAAATACTTTAAATGTTCAAAAAAAATATTTTCTAACCCTTAGTTAAATTAACTAAGCCTGTTGGTTGGGCGCCATCTTTATAGTGAGCCAAAAGTAAGGTTNAGCGCCATCTTTATAGTGAGCCAAAAGTAAAGTTTTGGTTGGTGTATAATATAATAAATAAAATTGGGTGTGTTGATTAATTAATTTGAATTTTGAGCACTTGAATAAATTTAATCATCTTACTTTCGGTTACTATAATTCAGTTTGTTTAATATTATTGGGGTCGTGGAGTCCGAGGGTTTTAGAGAATGACAATACAATTTAATAAAAGGGTTATGATAAATATTGAGATTTAATGTGTGTATCAAATTTTATAAACTTTGGTGAATCATTTGAATAGTCTCACGTTTCAAAGAGCACGAGCTTATGTCGGCAANTTTTTGAAAAAGTTACGGCACATTTTAGTAAAAAAAATTAAAAAATTTTTAAAATTAGCGATTTTTAAATTTGTAATTTTTTTGGAGGTTTCCCCCATTTANCGATTTTTAAATTTGTAATTTTTTTGGAGGTTTCCCCCATTTACGGGGGAATTTTTTTCAATTTTTAAGGGTAATGTCTTCGACTAGATACGATTTGTGATCTTTTGACGTATCGTTGAAAGATATACGTTCGGTGAGAGCTCAGAAAAAGTGATAACATACACAAAAAAACACATCATAGTAAAACCAATACCTTCTCAGCTTCGCATCGAAGCTAAAATGTTCAATAGTTTACGAGAAAAAAACTGTCTTATTTTTGATGAATCATCCTGTATACATGTTCAGTTTTAATATCGATTAAGTATTACATGTAAATCCATTAAAACAGTTAATACAAATATTCATTCAGCTTGATCTATTTGAAAAATTAGTATTTTCATAACTATTTTTAATAAAAAAAAAAACATAAAAAGCTATACACAATTTCTTAAATCAAGTATTAATTTTTTATGCATAATCTTTTGTTTAAAAGTGCAAACCTAAGCAGTGAATAATGATTTTGAATTCAATTTTATTTATCATTACAGTAATGGTCATTTTCCGTTCAATGCAAGTTAATACATGTTGTATTAAAAGTGTTCCTAGGTATGATTACAAATATGAAACTGCTCTTTCTCTGGACACTGGATTTATTTATCCTGAGCATGAAGAATCAAATAATCTTGACATTACTACTATAAAGAAATTACTAAACATTAATATTTTACCACAAGAGGAAACTATAAAAAAACCGATTGATCTAATATACTGTGACTTGATATGTGGTAATATGTTCGTCATTAGAAATTATTTGTCGATATGTAACAATTTAAATGATAATAATTTAGAAGAATCAATAACTGGACGCATGCTAGTTTCCCTTTTCAAAATAAATAAAACTATATATGAAAATCCATTCTGGTATGCTCACATGTATATAATATACAGATCAATGTTCCGAAATGAAACTAATGAAAATCATAAAGAATTTATTAAAAGGGTGAATAATTTGATTAAAGAGTCTTTACAATGGTATATTAATAGGTATTGTAGAAAAAATAATCAATATAATACAATAGTTCAATATAACAATGAGACGACAGAAATACAAAATATCATAAAATTAATAAATGATCGACAAGCAAAAAATGATATCTTATTAGAAAATAAAACAGAAATAAATTGGGTTTCCCTTAAAAGTATTTACTTACACCAAATATTAGAAGATGAACATTTTTGGAAAACCATAATTGTGACATTCGGTGATCAAAAAGAAGTTGTTTTAAAAGCAATACGTGATGATATTTTCAATAATTATAAATTGGCGAAAAATTATTATTATTATGACAATTGGGTCATACAAATAGAGAAATATCTAGAGAGTATATTTAATATCATAAGAATAGTCACTTTGCATTTAATACGGAACTATTTATATTATGCTGAAAACTATAGAAAATTAAACCCTAGTCTTTTACGAGAAGTTGACGTAGGCTATTCTAAAATAAAAGAGATACTTTTAAAAAATAATTTCTTTATACAACTTTTTAATAAATCATATGATAATCATGTAATAACAATTTTAGAAAAATTGAATGAACGGCAAAAAATTAATAATAAAATAAATGAAACACATATTGCAACAGTTGTTAAAATTGATATCATAATGAAAACACTGTCATCAAAATTTGAGCTAATACCTTTGGATACCCTTTTAAATAATGTTTATTTAGATCTAAAAAAAAACGAAAATGAGAAAAACAGAAAATTTATAACTATGGAAGACTCAAATAAAGAAAAAACTTTCCAAAATAAGTTTGATTGTCAATTATTAAGAGATAGTTATTCGAGTATTATATTGTATTTACGTTATGTAGAAACTAAATTTGAGACTTATAATATTGCTTTTTCTTTTATCAGAACATTTAAGGATCATAAAGTAATATCATTTAATAACCGAACTAACAGTGAAAAGCTTATACAATTGTAATTGTTTTAATATTTTATAGAATTGCAACTTCTTTTACGATCTAATAAACGATTTTAATGTTAACAATATGAATTCATGTTTATTTAATTATCTGAATATATAAAAGTATAAATTTTATATTTAATTTTTTTTAGACCCTTTGATAAATTTTTATGTCATTTTATTATTATTATACAATTGTAATTATTTCAGGATTATATAGAATTGCAACTTTTTGCGATCTAATAAACGATTTTAATGTTAATAATATAAATTAATTTTTGTTTAATCACCTAAATATATAAAAGTAAAATATTTTATATTTAATTCTGTAATGATTTAAATTTTGCAATTTTAAACTTTTTGATGATTACCTAAATTATATTATAACAATATACAGTATTGAATATTTTTTAGTATACAGAATGAACTAAATAACTAATTTATTTATTGTACAAAGAATAAATAATACTTAAAGATTTCTGAATGCTTAAAACTATCATTATTTTATACAGAATATTTTATTTTATATAACATATGATTAAACTTGATTTTTTTTACGATAGTCTACCTGTAAAAAATCTAATTTTTTTTTTTGTAATTTCATCTAAATTCATATTCAAACTATTTGTTATTAAATTGTAATATTATTATTGTTTTATTTCATGAAATACATTGTATTTAATATTAGATATGAGTGTTGTATACTGTATTTGATCTTTAAATGGCATTAATTACAAATAGACAAATAAGTACAAATATAAATACTCAGGTGACGATTTAATCTATTAAACTATTTGATCTCACTATTTACTAATATGACAACAGTATCAAATATCTATTAAAAAAATAAAAACAAATTTATTATAACTAAAAATAATCATTATATTCACTAAAATTATTTTATTAACAATAGATTCAATGGTGAATTCTGTAATGTGATTATTGATGACTAAAAAGTTTACATTTGAGGTGAAAATTCTTAAATTCTTTAAAAAATTTCAAATCATCTATTTTATGTAATAAATTATAAGAAAATTTTAAGTAAAAATGTTTATTTTAAACAGACACCTAAATAAATAAATGGTAAACGATTCTACGATTCAAATATCGGTCATTAATATTTCATCGTATAAAAAGATAATGATGAAATCAACAAATTTTTTGCTGCTATTATGTCATACAGCTCAATAAGTCAGGAAACATAAATATAATCACTGATAGTTAAAATTTTGACATTACACTGAATAAAAAATACAACTTAACTCTAACTTATCGGTTTTCTGTATAATTACGGTAGTTAATATGGTACTATAATTATCGGAAGTCAGACGAATCACATTACTTTAATTATAAATTAATAATTCTGTATCATATTTCCAAAAGTTAATATATTACAAAAAAGAGGTTTTGACATTTTTTATAATATTTAAACAAAAGGCAATATAAAAAGCTTAATTTTTTTATTTGACAATATAAATTATTTTAAGACGCTATTGAAATTTTATATTTGTTTTTGCCTCTATGACAAATTACTTAAAATAACTATGTGGTAAATGATTACTCAATCACCCTAGATGATATAGATAATCCTTGTAGAAAACAATATTGTCGCATCATAAAAATCGATTAAAAGGATTTAATCTTGTACTTATTATCTCTATATTATCAAATAAAATATATTTGTTGAGCTATAATAACACTATGCAATAAAAACAATCAAAATATATATACAGAGTAATTCATTAAGGATAAGACATTTACTTTGAACTATTGAACATTTTATACTTTTGTTTTTTTTTCCTTTATTAATATATACACAATCTGTACCCAATAGGTACAATAAGAGTATTAGCTAAAATAATTATAACATGGAATACTTGATAAAGTAAGCCACCCATTAATGATACTTTTAAGTGAAAATCTAATATTTAAAAAAAATTTTTTACATTGTTTCACTGCATTTTAAATTTTGTCTAATTTAACTTNTGTTTCACTGTATTTTAAATTTTGTCTAATTTAAATTTTTTTTTCTAGTTTTCAAAAAAGCTATTTCAAACTTTTGTAAAGGAAAATATTGTTTTATTCATAAAACTATACAATAATATGTAGTTAAAATATTATTCTTTCAATTCTTAAAGGTTAAATGAATCTTAATATTAACTTTCTTAAATCAGAAACAATAATTTAACTTGATATTATGATAGAAAAAAAATAACAAACAATTTTTTTTATAATTTTTTTCTAATCAACCAATCGTCTCTTTAAGCATATAATTCTTGAAAGGATGAAAAACAAATTTGTTGAAACGAACAATATTTTCCTTTACAAAATAAAAAATGTTCAATACTTTCCGAGAAAAATACTGTCTTATTCTTAATGAATCATACAGTATACATGTTCAGTTTTAATAAAGATAAAGTTAAGTACTGCATAATTATCAATATTACATGAAAAATCATTAAAATAATTACTTACAAATATTCATTCAGCTTGGTCTATTAAAAAAAATTGTATTTACATAACTATTTTTAATAAAAAAAAAAAACATAAAAAGCTATACACAATTTGTTAAATCAAGTATTAATTTTTTATACATAATCTTTTGTTTAAAAGTGCAAACCTAAGCAGTGAATAATGATTTTGAATCCGTTTTTTTTTATTATTACAGTAATTGTCATTTTCTGTTCAATGCAAGTTAATACATGTTGTATTAAAAGTGTTCCTAGGTATGATTTCAAATATGAAACTGCTCTTTCTCTGGACACTGGATTTATTTATCCTGAGCATGAAGAATCAAATAATCTTGACATTACTACTATAAAGAAATTACTAAACATTAATATTTTACCACAAGAGGAAACTATAAAAAAACCGATTGATCTAATATACTGTGACTTGATATGTGGTAATATGTACGTCTTTAAAAATTATTTGTGGATTAGTAGAAATTTAATTGATAATAATTTAGAAGAATCAATAACTGGACGCATGCTAGTTTCCCTTTTCAAAATAAATAAATTAACATATGAAAAACCATTCTGGGAAGCTCACATGTATATAATATACAGTTCAATGTTCCGAAATGAAACTAATGAAAATCATAAAGCATTTATTAGTACGGTGAATTATTTGACTAGAGATTCCTTACAAAGGCATATTAATACGTGGTGTAGAGAAAATAATCAATATAAAACAATAGTTCAACATAACAATGAGTCGACAGAAATACAAAATATCATAAAATTAATAAATGAACGACAAGCTAAAAATGATATCTTATTAGAAAATAAAATAGAAATAAATTGGGTTTCTCTTAAAAGTATTTACTTACACCAAATATTAGAAGATGAACATTTTTGGAAAACCATAATTGTGACATTCGGAGATCAAAACGAAGTTGTTTATAAAGCAATACGTGATAATATTTTCAATAATTATGAATTGGCGAAAAATTATTATTATTATGACAATTGGGTCATGCAAATAGCTAAATATCTAGAGAGTATGTTTAATATCATAAGAATAGTCACTTTGCATTTAATACGGAACTATTTATATTATGCTGAAAACTATAGAAAATTAAACCCTAGTCTTTTACGAGAAGTTGACGTAGGCTATTCTAAAATAAAAGAGATACTTTTAAAAAATAATTTCTTTATACAACTTTTTAATAAATCATATTACAATAATGTAATAACAATTTTAGAAAAATTGAATGAACGGCAAAAAATTAATAATAAAATAAATGAAACACATATTGCAACAGTTGTTAAAATAGATATCATAATGAAAACACTGTCATCAAAATTTGAGCTAATACCTTTGGATACCCTTTTAAATAATGTTTATTTAGATCTAAAAAAAAACGAAAATGAGAAAAACAGAAAATTTATAACTATGGAAGACTCAAATAAAGAAAAAACTTTCCAAAATAAGTTTGATTGTCAATTATTAAGAGATAGTTATTCGAGTATTATAATGTATTTACGTTATGTAGAAACTAAATTTGAGACATATAATATTGCTTTTTCTTTTATCAGAGCATTTAAGAATTATGGAAAAATATCTTATTATATAATAAAACAAGGAAAAAAATTATATTATAACAGAACTAACAGTGAAAAGCTTATACAATTCTAATTGTTTTAATATTTTATAGAATTGCAACTTCTTTTACGATCTAATAAACGATTTTAATGTTAACAATATGAATTCATTTTTATTTAATTATCCGAATATATAAAAGTATAAAATCTTTTTAGACCCTTCGATAAATTTTAATGTCATTGTATTATTATTATACAATTGTAATTATTTCAGGATTATATAGAATTGCAACTTTTTGCGATATAATAAACGATTTTAATGTTAATAATATAAATTAATTTTTGTTTAATCACCTTAATATATAAAAGTAAAATATTTAAAAATTTTTTTTTCTATATTTTTATATAATTAAAAAGTAAATCAGATTTCAAATTTTTAATTTAAAAAAAAAATGTACTATATTAATCATTACTCTTTGTAGGAAAGCTAAATTTTATTACATTAATAAGATTTATATTCGTATAAAAAAAATTGTATTTATTCACGTGAGCTATGTGCAATATTATTCTTAAAAATATTTTTTGACAAATCGTATACACTTATAGGATACAGTTTGTATAAGATTTTATTATTAAATCAATTTTTAGAACTTCTTTGTATGAATAAAATTATCTGTTTAATGTGATAACTGTTATGTGTTATGGTAATATTTTCAAAATTATGGTGTTCAATTTTTATCATAATTATGTTAATTTTACCAAATAATAAGAAAATGGTTGTAGTAAATGACCATGTTAAATAAATATTACTTGTATAAATAATTGTAGGTTTTTTATACTAATTAGACCTGTAACTAATATGGCTTACAGTTTATGTACACCAAAACCTCTTGACAGTTGCCATTCCTTACAAACTAGAGGAAGGTGATTTTTGTAAGAAAGAAATAAAAAAACACGAATCCATTTAAGATTGAACACGCAAGAAAATGAGTTTGTGGTTAGGTTAAATTAAGAGGTTTTTATAAATAAAAAAAAGAAAACAATTTAAATTAAGACTGGTCAAAACCTCGTTTGCACTTAAAAGGAAAAATGAAAGATATAAACTAAACTAAACTAAATGAAAAATATAAACCATGGCGATATAAACTGATGCTACTGCAATGGCATCAGTTTCTA